GGGGTATTTGGAGGTAGTGGGGGTATTAGACCTCGAATGGCATTGGTTGAAGATGGCAAAGAGGAGAGGGGTGGAGGGGAGATATCAAATGCAGACCAAACGTAAGCAGACCAAACTGCACAAAGCAGTCACAAACAAAACACTTGAAACCACTCACAGCGGAGACATCTACATAACGGTGCACCCCGAACATTTTACCAACGACACACACAGGCAAGGCTGTCGTGAAGAGGCAGAAAGACGTAACTGCTCATTGTGTGAATTTTAAAAAATTAAAGAATAAATAAAAGCAAAGACAAAACACAAAACCCAACTACCCCCCCTCTCTTAAAAAACACTCCCCCCAAAAAAAAATAAAAAAATAATTAATTAACAAACAAAAATAAAATGACCTCCCCTTAAAAAAGCAACAACACAAAAACCCCGACCCCGAAACCTTTAGCCTGTCTACAGGTAGGACCTCCGAGTTTAATGTTCATCTCCGAAGGAACCAAGACAAAGTAGACATTCGTATAAAGTGCCTGTCCCAAAGACACAATATTTGACCAATCTAAGGCTCATACCATCGAACCTGCAGTCTTTCAAATACAGGCCCGGTAGCCTAACCGACTCCACAAGCAGGGAAAAGCCAAGGTCAGAGTAACAAAGCAATAAAACAAAATCAAAACCGAACAAAATACAAGAAGCCACCCCCCTCACCCCCCCCAAAATAGAAAAAAAAATCGATTTCGATTTTGTCAGATACGTCGTTATGCTCAGGAGCGGCAGAATGACTCCTGCTCGACCTGAAGTTTGGGCTAACAATAGTTTAAAATAGTAGATAATTACTGCTAAGTTGGCGGACACTACAAGAAAATAAAATGGCTAGTCATGCTGGTAAGACGTTATACCTTCAGTGAAGTGATTAATTTTCAGGAATATAGTAAAATAGCACAAGAAAGGACATAATATTATTATACTGTATTATCATAATACTTCTTCTTCTTCTTCTTCTTCTTCTTCTTCTTCTTCTTCTTCTTCTTCTTCT